TAACACAATGCAGCCAACTCCATTTGTTAGAACAGCTTCCATTGAGTCTCTGCACCTATCCTTTTTTATTCTCGGTTTATGAAACCCTTGTTTGTTTTAATAAAACAGGATTTGGCTCAGGATCGCCCATTTTTAATTCCAGGGTTTCTCTGAATTTGAAAGTTCTCACTTGGTAGGTTTCCATACCAAGGCTCAATCCAATTAAGTCCGTAGCGTCTACCAATTTCGCCATATCCCCTTTTTTTGTTTTGTGATGTGATTAGGATCACATTATGATGCCGTCACCCTTTTTTCTTTTCTTTCATTTATATTATGCTGGAACCGTTGAATTCATTAGATACCGGTTCCTATATTGAAAAGTGTTTTCTACTATTTGATTTCTTGTCTATTTTCTTTGATCTCTATCGGAGACCAGTATTTGGTCCAATCAGAAATGATTCTATCATTTCTATATCAGAAATTCAATATAGATATATACCGCATAACATATATATTATACTATATATAATATATTTATTATACTTAGATATGCCCCTATTTCTATCCGTGCAATTTTGAATACTTGAACGGTCGATTCTTTTTTTTTTTTTTTTTTTTATCTTTCGCCTTTTCGAATGAAACCAGAGGAGTGTTTCATTATGATCTGAATTACACTTTTATCTTTCATTTTATTCTTATCCTTTTCTTAGGGCAGACCCTCTATAACATAACAAAAAAAAGGAAAATTTGAGTATTATTAATTTAAAATTTAATTACTAGCCATAACTAATAAAATGGCTATAAACAATCATTCCGTTAATTTATAATTAGAAGATAATTCTAAATAAAATATATAAAAAAATTAAAATATATTTCATATATAATATATATGAAATATAATAAAATATCAAAAAAACATAGTACTATAGAATAGTAAAAAAAAAAATCTTACTATTTAATTAAGCTAATTAAGATATTAATTATCGATAAACATATATTTGAGAAATAGATCGAAATTTAATATTCAAATATCCAATATTTTTGGAAATATTCTTTATATATATATTTTATATATTTTTTTTTATTATTTTTATATAAATAATATTTCTTATGAAATAGCTAAGAATGAACAATTAATATCTCAGTAGTTTACTAAATTAGTATATGTGTACAATTTATGTTATGCGAGCCCGCTTAGCTCAGAGGTTAGAGCATCGCATTTGTAATGCGATGGTCATCGGTTCGATTCCGATAGCCGGCTTTTCTCCATTTGTTTGATTTTTTACATAATTAAATTGATAATGTGAAATCAAAGTGAAAAACTTCTTTCCCTTTTCCCAAGGGTCACTGATCTATTTCTATTATTTCGTAGGAACTTCCAATTATGAATAAAAATTGGATTGGAGGAGTTCGGTCTCTGTAGAACAAATCAATTAAGATAAGAAAAGAACCCTAAATTTTTATTATTTTAAATTCTTTTTATTTATATAATACAATTATTTATATACAATAAGGTACGGATATTGATACAATTCCTCTAATTATTTATTCTTTGTAATACTTCAGTAAATTTCGCTTAATTTATCATATTTTAGTTTAGTTTTAATTTTGTTTTATGAAATTTCATAAAAAATAAGGAGTCTTTATGTCGCGTTACAGAGGACCTCGTTTCAAAAAAATCCGTCGTCTGGGGGCTTTACCGGGGCTAACTAGTAAAAAGCCTAGAGCCGGAAGCGATCTTAGAAACCAATCGCGCCCCGGCAAAAAATCTCAATATCGTATTCGTTTAGAAGAAAAACAAAAATTGCGCTTTCATTATGGTCTTACAGAACAACAATTACTTAAATACGTTCGGATCGCCGGAAAAGCCAAAGGGTCAACAGGTCAGGTTTTACTACAATTACTTGAAATGCGTTTAGATAACATCCTTTTTCGATTAGGTATGGCTTCGACTATTCCTCAAGCCCGCCAATTAGTTAACCACAGACATATTTTAGTTAATGGTCGTATAGTAGATATACCAAGTTATCGCTGCAAACCCCGAGATATTATTACAGTGAGGGATGAGCAAAAATCCAGGGCTCTGATTCAAAATTATCTTGATTCACCCCCCCGTGAGGAATTACCAAAACATTTGACTCTTCACCCATTCCAATATGAAGGATTAGTCAATCAAATAATAGATAGTAAATGGGTCGGTTTGAAAATAAACGAATTGCTAGTTGTAGAATATTACTCTCGTCAGACTTAACCATAACTAAAATAACAAGGGTTCGGGCAATTTTGCCCCCTTCATTTTGGCTTAAGTAAAGGGACCCGGGGTAAGTAAGGTAAGGGGTTTCATCTGGGGATTTTCTCTTATTCATGTATCATAGATCGGTAGGGTATTTTCATTCCTTGTCGATTTTGTCCAGTATTTTCGTACCACAGAAATTCGGGGTAGGAATAGATAATCTATATCAAAGAAAGGTCTAACTGTTGGAGTATCCATTCTTATTTGATGCATTGCAGTCAGTAACATTGGTGAATTAGTTGACGAGTACGGAAAGAGAGGGATTCGAACCCTCGGTAAACAAAAGTCTACATAGCAGTTCCAATGCTACGCCTTGAACCACTCGGCCATCTCTCCTACATAATGATTATGGCCCAAAAACCGAGTGAATAGTGAGTCATTCATATTATTTTGGATAGGTATTATGTACATTCAATTTTAACTCTAAAAATAGAAAACTTTTCATCAAAGAAAAATCCTTCCTCCGAGGCTGGGGATAAAGATAAATCCTTTTTGGGAAAAATTGTAAAATAAGGATATATATCTATTCATGTTTGCGAAGATGGTGTTTCCGCCCTTTCTAATATTTATACCGGATTAAATCACTCAATTGAAACGAATCCAATGATCGATATATTTTTTTTAGACTGTGTTTAATGGATACCTTTAAATCATGATTCTATTTAGTTTACACTATTATTCAATTTTCATAAAAATTATAAAATTTCTTTCCAGTTTTAGATTTTTCAACAACAACTCTTTACTCCAACTTCTTAACCCATAAATTTATTCCAAATTCATGAACCGCCCCCGGATTTTTTTTATTGATTCCTGTCAAAAAGAAACAATTTGAGTAAAAGGTCTTCCTTTTTAATGAATCCGTTTTTATGTTATTTCGTACTGCACAATTCCTTTGTTTGTGGGATCATTTTCTCACGAAAGGGAATTAAAATAAATTATAGAATGGATTAATACACCTATGTCTAGATCTGGGATAAATGGAAATTTTATTGATAAAACCTTTTCAATTGTAGCCAATATCTTATTACGAATAATTCCGACAACTTCGGGAGAAAAAGAGGCATTCACCTATTACAGAGATGGTGCGATTTGATTATTTTTTTATTTTTTTATTTTTACCGCTCTCGGTCTTAAGAGAAAGACAACATTATTCGGGATAGGAAGAAAAAAATTATGGAAATAAATCTACGCTTGTTGAAGGTGAAGTTTGTAAATAAAACAACGCCTTCTGTCGTGTATCCCCGATTAATGCAGCCTCAGATGCTTCAATTGTCGATTCTAGAGTATTGAGCGAAAGGTTACACCTATGGGTTAGGTCAACCCTACTCCACTAGTACCAATAGGGTGCATAGGGGAAGAAGCACTACTCCTAGGAATCAACACACGAAAACTTTGTTATAAATTATCCCTTTTCCTTATCAGGATCGGGACTAACAATGGTTGGGACAACAAACATCCATCTCGTTCGTATTTTGGATACCCGTATAACCATCGAAGACTGTTGAAGTGACTAATTCCTGCAAATTTAAGGGCGTTGAAGACAAAGAAATTGTTGGAGTAACTTTTTTTTATCTAATACCAACATGCTTGATGTTAAGGAAAGATCTTCTACAAGAAGGTTGGCTAGAGATTTCTTGTAAAAACACCAGCCCCGCTTAGTTTATAATGAGAATATTTCAGTCTTTTTGATTCCATGTATTATTATCATTATGCACATAAAGGAGGAGCCGTATGAGATGAAAATCTCATGTACGGTTCTGAAACGGAGATTCTTTGAATCGAATGACGACCGTAACGGATGTCGGCTCAATCCGAAGGAAATTATGCGGAAGCTTTACAGAATTATTATGAAGCTATGCGACTAGAAATTGATCCTTATGATCGAAGTTATATACTCTATAACATAGGCCTTATCCACACAAGTAACGGGGAACATACGAAAGCTTTGGAATATTATTTTCGGGCCCTAGAGCGAAACCCATTCTTACCACAAGCTTTTAATAATATGGCCGTGATCTGTCATTACGTGCGACTATCTCCACTATAGAAATAAAAAAAGGAAAGAAAGAAAAAATCCGTTAACGTTAATAAATACTAGAAACAAAGAGTAGGCTTTCTACATATGTATCGTTCAAAACAACGATTTTTATCAGCTGTAGCAAAGAAATAAACTTCATAAAAGTCGAAATATGAATATGAAGAAATAGGTATGCCTAGATACTTTACTTTTATTCTATGGATAAAGGATCTAATTGATAGAGGAAGCGCCGTAAAGATCAATTCGCGAGGTTTTGGTCCGATACAATAAGAACTGCTTACTTATGTCATGATATGAGATAAAAGTTAGGAATCCACTTATGTAATAGAGTCGATCCCCTAAGGTATTGAGCAGCGGTGTAGCATCAGATCCCAAAGATGGTAAGTCTTTTCCTTCTTATGAAGGAAGGCCTTTTTCAAAGATTCTATATAAATTTATATATGAAACCGAGATAGTTACCTTTCAGAAAATTCGAATAATAGTGAAAACGCTTATGCTTTATTTTTCTGAAGGTGGGAGAAAAGATAAAACTGATTATTAATAAAATTTTAGTTTGAAACTCATGTAATTAACCTCTTTCTTTTGGTTAACTCGAGAAAAAAAAATGGGATATATCTCTGAGAAATCTCATTTAA